AATTCTGCATGTTCCAGGGCAAGCAAGAGACAAATAACTCAGTTGCTAAGTCTCAGTGGGCTGCTACCATCTCCTCCTCATTGCCCTGGCCCTTGGGATGTTTTATATTGCTCGTTCTTGGACCAGATGCAGCTCTCTTTGATTCTTAGTCTCTGTTGTGTAAGCGTATGCAAAGCTGGACCTGGCATTTAGTGGCCACTCAGTCACTATGGAGTGAATGTGGCTGATCACTTACCATCTGGGCTATTCGGGTTTCAGCCTCCTGGTCTTAAAAGGAGAGCAGATGACTGTTTGTGATTCTTCCCACTGTAACCTGTCTTGGGGGCTCTTTGGTTACTCATTGGGGATGATCAGTCAGTGTCAAGGCTGTTTCTGAACACAGACGGGATCTCTCTGCATCCCAGCCTGACCTCTGTGGCCCACAGAGATATTGCCTTAAAGCCTGCAGGACTGCATCCTCTCAATAATAGACACATGTTGGCTGATTGGCAGGACCTTTTTGGTGGCCATTCAGGATGGGTCCTGTCCTTGCAATTAGAGTGTTGACTTCTGAAGCCAGACACAATGTGCAATGAGCTCAGTAAACAGTTGTGACAAAAAGACTCCAACAAGCCATGGCTATGGCTATGTCTGGAGGGAAAGCTGAGCTCAAAGGAAACAGAAGAATCAAGCCCAACAGCAGTGTTTTGGGATCCTTGGGGTGTGATACTGCTTTTCTTCAAGACAGGGAATCCTGCAAGCAGGTTTGCAGGAGGGAGAGGGAAGAGAGCTTAATGAATTCCTTCTTGGAATTAACAATTCGCTCTTGGCTGTTCTCAAGGACAAGCTAAGTAGAGAGGCTGAGAAGTGAAACCCTGGCCAAAGGAACATGCTTAGCCTTTCTGGATGATGGCACTTGGCTTTGTAAATCCTGGTTCAGGCAACATCAGAGGAGAAGCAGAATTAGGAAGGAGACGTGGGGAGCAACTTGCTCTCCAGGAATGGCCAGAGGGATTGGACCAGGGGCATCCAAGGAAGGAAGGGAATGTAATCTGGGTTGGTAGCTCAGCTCTTCCCCATGGGAGAGCAGGGGCCTTAGGGGTCACACTTTGGAATGCAAGAGCTCTTTCTAAGAAAGAAGGTACGCAAGTCCTTCTAAATTCAACCAAAAGGGACGGCATCATGGGCTCTTTTCAAAGAATCACCCCCTTAGCGCTCAACTCCAAGCTCTCACAATGAATGAATCCAACATCTACTCTTGTAAACAGAATGAATCATCCTAAAGCCAACTTGACCCAGGTGAAGATGTCTTAAAACATCAATGTGGAGCAACAAGCATTCTGGCAGAGGCAGTATGTGCACTCCTTTCTAATCACCTGAGACTATGGGAAAAGACAAAACTATGGTTTACATGGAACTCATTCATGCCGGTAAGATTGTAATAATGATGTGGCCACTGAGAAAAGCAGTCTGTAAGTCCCTCAGAAATTCAATATACCAGGCAATTCATCCAAGAGAAAGGAAAACATAGCCTCACCAGAACTTGTATACAATGTTTTCAACAGCATGATTTACATGAAGCAAAAGGCAAAAACAGCCCAGGTACCCATCAACTGATGCACACATACAGAAAACTTGACCTATCCATGCAATGGAATATTACTCAGCCACAACAGAGAATGAAGTATTATTCACACCAGACACAGACAAATTTTGAAACCATTCTTAGAAAAAAGAGCCAGAGACAAAAGATCACATACAATGGTATGATTCCATTAGTGCGGCATGGGGCAGGCAAGAGCCGGGGTTGCCTAGTGCAGCTGGAGGGAAACATGGTAAGCAACTGCTAGTGGCAGCATGATTTTCTTTCAGTGATGAAAATGCTCTGAAGTGGAACATGCGTGACAGGTGCAAAATTCTGCAAAAACCACTGACTTGTACATTTGAAAGTGGCAAATCCTATGGTGTGTGGGTTACGTCCAAAAAGCTGCATCTAAAGAGAATGAAGAGGAAGAAGGATGACTGCTTTCGTGGCGTAATGGCGTGTTCTCCACAGGCAGCATTTCTTGTCCTGCTGTCCTGCCAGCAGTTGACCCCTGCAGCCGAGTGGCAACTGAAGGATGCTTGGTTTTATGACTGAGAATTTTGAGGGGATAACATCCATTTACTTCCAGTTATGATTTCTATTGGTTTTCAACATATTTGCACCAAATATTTGATTATAATATCTGTACAACATGAGATAGAACATGCTTAGATAGCTAACCTGTACATTTATTTTGGAAAAGTAGCCACCTTTAGAACTATTCACTTAATTATTTGAATGGCAGAGACACAACAAGAGAGTGACAGAGAGAAAGAGAGATAAATAGAGAGAGAGACACAGAGAGACAGAGGGTATGAGTTTCATTTTGCTAGTTCTCTCCTTCAAATACCCATGACAGTCAGCGCAGGGCCAGGCCAAAGTCAGGAGCCCAACATTCAACCTGGGTCTACTATGTGGCTGGGTGGCAGGATCTAAGTCATCACCTGTTGCCTCTTGGGGTGCCCATTAGCAGGAAGCTGGCATTGGAAATAGTCACTCTGAGCTGGGAAGTGGCGTCCCAAACAGCATGTGAACCCCTGCACCAGATGTCCACTCCTCGCTGTACCCTGAGGTCCAGTTCACTGAGGTGTAGCTGATGTCATTTCCATTCACTCTGAAGTTTTCAATTCTGAATTAGGGTGAACATTGATAGCCATGCAAACTCCATCGACCACTTCGCTCTCCCTAAAAGGTTCACTTACACCCTTCTGTAGTCACTTCCTCTTCCCCTGCCTGACCCTGGCATCTCCTGTTCTGGTGTCTGTCCCCAAGGCATTTTTCCATTCCTATACTATGTCACCATGATTCATCCCGAGACAACGCCTCTTCCAAGCCAGCTCCTGTACATAGACGGTACCCAGTGTCTCCCCACTGTTGGTGGACAGCGGATATAGAACAGGTGAATGGATGCTTGTTTTTTACTTCTGCAAAATCATGCCAGGGACCCTGCATTCTGATTCCAGATTGTGCCATCTGAGAAGGGGCTACTTACAAGGGGACGAGTTTTCTCCTAGAGGTTTATGCAGTTCAAAACAAACAAACCGATGAACCAACAACCAGGCTATCATAATGTACAACTTGAGAGACTTTGCAAATGTGTCACTCACTTCCTTAGAAATCAGGTTTGGACCAAGAATTAGATTCCAGCAGCAGGCAGATCTCTCTCCTCTCCCCACCTACAGACTTGGTGATGAGGGATGTTCCACAGCTGCTTTTCTGCCCTTCCTCCTGTGATGCACGCCTGAGATCAGCCCGCCTCCACTCGGCATGGCCCAGAGCCTCATCCAGAGCCACTGTGAACAAGTTCTGTGAGATTCCAGAGATCACCTGCACAAACAACTCCAGACGTACATGTGTGCAATCGCCACCTGCTCGGACCTTCCTCAGTGAGAAGGGGGGAGGTTGGAAAAGCCACCTGCAGCCCTACTAGACGAGCCAGCTGCAGGGTATCTTTTGTGGGTCCCTCCCAATGTCATCACTCTCCTCTTCTGCTGATGGGACTCAGATAACAGACACCCCCATGCCTGCAAGCAGTGCACAAAATCTCCCTGTCCAGCCAGCACTGTGAAAGGGCCCAGGCCCATAGAGAACTGCCCTTTCATAAAAAAATAAGGGGAGGGAGTATTTCCTCCAAGCTGCCCCTCTCCTCCCACGCACATTCTAGGGGTGGCAGACCCCTGCTATGTGCTTTGCCTGACTGGCCAAGACATCACCACCACCGCCCCCCTTCCACTTCACCCCTGGAGATGTGGCACCTTGCCTTCTAGCCAGGCCTGGATGCCAACATGACATGCCTCTTGTGTGCTTCTAGCTGCTTTGCTCTCACATCTGGGCCACGTGGCTTTTGAACTGCAGCTCTGGGAGACAAATGTGCAATGCCAGCCTGTATCAGGTGTGAGGTCCTTGGTCCAAGGGGGGGAATCCTGTTACAAGGTGTTAAGCAAGATGTCAACAAAATTTTACAAGTGGAGACAGGGAGGCCGTGTAGCCATTAACTGTGTGAACAGGGGGGACTATTAGCTCAGCTGCAGAGAGCAGGAGAGACCCTGGCTGCCATGCTGAGGTGAGTTCAGACTCCTGTGCATGGTTCAGAAAGAGAAGGAAAATAAAGTGAGGAAAAACAGTTGCAGCAAAACTGGAGGAAAGCTTATTCCATGGGAGGGAACAAAGCTGCACTTTTGATTTCAGCACCACCATGGCAGTCAGAGGTAAAGCAGGCCTCATCCCCTGGCTTGTGTCTGCAGGTGGAAAATGCTTTCACAAACACGCATGATGGAAACAATTTTCAAGGAGAATACTCGATAGTCTGGTGGATAAATCCTCACCTTGCATGCACCAGGATCCCATACGGGCGCTGATTTGTGTCCCGGCTGCAGTTCTTCCCATCCAGCTCACTGCTTGTGGCCTGGGAGAGAAGTCAAGGATGGCCCAAAGGCTTGGGATCCTGAACTGGTTTGGGAGACCCAGAAGCAGCTCTGGGCTCTTGACTTCAGATCAGCTTAGCTCCAGCCATTGGGGCCATTTAGGGAATGAATCAGCAGATGGAAAATCTTTCTCTCTTATCTCCTTCTCTCTGCAAATCTGACTTTCCAGGAAAAATAAAATAAATCTTAAAAAGAGAGAGAGAGAGAATGAAGAGAGAGAGAGAGAAAATACTGCACAGCTAGCCCTGAGATCCTTTCTTGTCTGTCGCACTGCTCTGTGTACTCTGACGCCTAATGGAAAGCCACTTAAAAGGGGACAGTTGCTGAGCGAGTGACCAGGTACTAGGAGTTGCTGCTCCCGGTGTGTGGGTGGTGGAGGAGCCCAGCGGCACGCTGCACCCTGGAGGAGCATTGCACCTGCGGAGGCGGAGGAGGGCGGGAGCGGGCGCCGCAGGGGTGGGGTGAGTGAGGGCAGTGGCTCCCTGAGCCGGTAGCTCTGGACACAGAACAGGATGGACACACAGGAGGGCAAGGCGGCGCCGGAGGCCCCCGGCCGCGGCTTGGTGTCGGAATGGTGTGACATGGTGGGGCGGAACATGCGGTGAGTACACCTGGTTGCTCTGGCCGGGGTGCTGGCCTGGGGCAGACCCCTTCCTGGGGCCGGGGTCCACCACACTGCTGCCGCCAGAGACCTGCCGTCCTCCTGGCTCTTACAGATGCTGAGTCCTCAGCCTTAATCCCTGCCTGGACAAGGGAAACTCCCGGGGTTTGACTTTGCAGGACTTTGCAACTTCTGGGAACCCGCTCCCCCGTCTCTCTTCCCTCCCCACCCCCAAAGTAGAGATTCTTTGCAAAGATGGATCAGAATCCGTGCCAGTCCTTTCCTGACCATTTTACTGATATCAGGGACAGATAGGAATATGGCTGCAAATAATGGCAACAGCCAGGTGCTATAATCTTGAATGACATCCTCTTAGGTCAAGGGCCGTTGGCAGACAGGCTCAGAAAGCCAGTGCCTGATTGGCTGCCTGGCTCGAGGCGGGAGCTCCCTGGGGGTGAATCTGAAGAGCCACCCCCATGCTCACCTGGCATTACCTTTGCAAATCTGGAAACGTCTCTCAGAGATTTCCACTTTGCCCCTTCCTCCCTCCCTTCTGTGAGTCCTTGATGGAGAATCTTAAATTTCTTGAGCAGACCAGCGGCACATGAACCAGTCTTGTTGGAATGGTAACCATGTGCAGGTGGAGACCCAGGTTCTGGGCAGCTTGTTGGCATGAGGAGGTACTGACTCTCTTGTTTGCCTCGCTCCCTTCTCACTCCTTTGGCTGCATTTCTCTACTGATTACAGAATGGCCAGGAATCACATCTAGACGCAGGAGATGTGGCTCTGGCAAGTCCTGTGAGGGTGACAGGTAGGAACCTTGCCTTCTGTTGCTCCCAGGGCTTAGAGCAGGTGACAGCTCCAGGCTGAGCCTGCCTGCGGGTTGCACTTGCCACACTCCCCTCCTCTTTCCTCTTCTCTGCAGCTTTGCATTTTTTTGGCTGTAAAGAGCCTGGGGAACAAGCTACCTTGTTAGGGTGGGAGATGGGGGCTGGGGCTTTGTTATCTGCCTCACCAGTCAGTAAAAACAACCCGTGGGATGCTTTCTGAAAGAATGGAATGTTGGGCTGGGTAGCGTGGCCTATCGGCTAAAGTCCTCACCTTGAACGCACCAGAATCTTATATGGGCACCGGTTCTAATCCTGGCAGCTCCACTTCCCATCCAGCTCCCTGCTTGTGGCCTGGGAAAGCAATCGAGGACGGCCCAGAGCCTTGGGACCCTGCACCCACATGGGAGACCTGGAAGAAGTCCCTGGATCCTGGCTTTGGATCAGCATAGCACCGGCCGTTGCGCTCAGTTGGGGAGTGAATCATCGAACAGAAGATCTTCCTTTCTGTCTCTCCTCCTCTCTATACATCTGACTTTCTAATAAAAAAATAAATCCTTTAGAAAAAAAGAAAGAATGAAATGTTAACACACGTCTGCATTTCATCTACTGAAGGCTGTGTGGATTCCTAAGCGCAAGCTTCTTTCCGGCACTTGGAACCCAGCTTGTTTCTCCAGAGGCTGAATCCTTTACATCAGCAAATACATGGAGAGCTTGCCCTGTGCCCAGCGCCGCCCAGGGCCTTGGGTCCATTGACATGTGTGGTGAGCCTCAACACTTCATCATAGGATGTGTTCCAGGACTGTTTTCTCATGCACTGGGGAGTTCCACATTTTGTTAGCTACAATTGCTACTTATACAGTGCATGGGTCCAGGTCAGTAAGTTTCCACTCCAGACTGGTTTCTTTAAGTTAAAAAATAGAAGCAGTCATCACCCAAGAAGTTGAGGGAAGCCAAAGGACTACTATCCCCTTCCAACTTACTCCATTTCTGGAGGGTGCAGAGAGAGGGAAGCCCGCAGTAGGCGGAAAAGGTCTTGCATTCTTTGCACAGTGTCAGTTGTCTTCTGTTGGGCATTCCGACACATGCTGGCTGAATGAATTGCGCCCCCCCCCCCCCGGAAGCACAATAGCTCCTCTTTAAGTTTTGGCTTGGTGATTCACAATTGTGGCTACATTTGGGCTTCATAAAGGTACCGGAAAAACACTTCTGAGCTGGAAGGATTTGCCCCAATTTACCAGTGAGAAACACGCAGGCAGGTGCTATGGCCCCAGGGGGACACTGCATGGTATCTTTACAGCCAGAGCTGATCAAAGGGTGGGCAATGCAGTGATCAGGCCCCAGGGTGCCCTTTGATGTGGCAGGCTGCCAATGGGCCAAGTCAGGGCTCAAATGATGTTGAAGAGCTGCTGGGGGCTTCTGATTGCCTTCTGTTCCAAGGAAGTCACATCACAGGCCCATGGTGAAGAGAAGGGCTTTGCATTATTGATGCTCCCTGGGGTCCAGCCACACTGTTCTCTCCTTGAGCTTTATGGGAGGAGGGTCTTGGCTGAATTATTTCTTAACTACAGACGTGGTCCCCTCTCTTGCCTTTACTTCCCAGGCAGGGCTTGAAAGGCTAACTTAGAGGGAGACTGTCTTACCCTCCTTCAAAAGCTGCCCTAGCAGGAGATGGACAGGCAGGGTGTACAGAGTGTGGTGTCTGGAGATGGAGCAGGTGCTGCTGGGAAGCATCTCTGACATCTCATTGCTATCTATCTGGGCTTCATTTGTGGCTCTCAGTGGCTTCTCTGGGATGTGACTTCTGAAATTTATGAGGAATCCTGTCCTATCTTTGCGACCATCTTCATGCAACTATTTGCAACTATTATGAAACAACATCCTCGTTTCTTTCCTGCTGACTGTGTGAGCCAGCAATCACCCATGTGTGATTTAGCTGGGAAGCTATTCCCGAGTCTTAGCTCCCATCTCTTTCCTGCTTCTTGCAGAAATCACTGGAAATTCACGTCCTTTCCCTTTGTACCTCTCCCCCACATATAGGAGTGCCTTGATTTTTAAATCCACTAACACTGGAGGGAGAGTTCATTTTGTGTGTGGGGGGTCTTTCTTGGAAGACTTTGTTAGCAGAAGTCTCCTAAGAACAAAGGAGCAGGTAGGGGCAATGCCATGGGTGAGGGAGCCCACAGAGGAAGTGAGAGTGCAGAGGGGAAAGATGGGGATTCTAAAACAAGATTTGTTGAGAGCACGATTTCCTTCCACTGGCCAGTCTGGATCCTGGCCTTCAGTTTTGCTTACCTGGGTGGTAATTAGACTCTGTAGGACCACGCGGCTGGTTCATCGTCATCCCAGGATGCTGGGCAGACATTTCTGGACTGTGATATCAATGCACTTGTTACTTTGAGAGGGTGGCTTAACTGTAAAGCCAAGATGACAACAGTTGTCGTCTATAAAAAAAAATCAAGATGAGGGAAAACAGTTTATCAAAGTGTTTTGTAGTCTTCTAACCTCAGCCTAGTATTGATCACTCACAGCAGGGGAAGGTGTTTACTTGTGGTGAAGTGATCTTATGGACAAAAATTGGAAGCCAAAGACAATGACACTGATCTCTCCTACCCCTTGACTCTTCTGGGCCTCCTGAGAAACGTGGCTTGAGATGGAGGATTTTTGTCACCGGGGGCAACAGAGCCAGCCAGATGCACACGGCTCCATCCTGCCCCTGCATGGTTTCCAGCTTGGCTGTAGCCACTCGTGGTCCCCTTGGCTTCTCAGTCCTTTTTCTGCTCCTCCTCCCCTCTAGAGACCCCGGTCAGAAGTGGGGTCTTCCCTCATTGACACATTCCTTCCTAAGAGTTAGTCAGAAGAGAGGGCATCTAATGATTACTTGCTCCCTGCTGTAGACAAATACTCATATTAGTCAGCACACACAGCACTGAACCGTGATAGATTTTAAAATGTGGCTACTGTTGAACTGTGTGAATCCTGTTTTTTGATGCCCTTGGGGTCCAGCCTTGGTCTTAAGTGGGGCGAACTGAAGAGAACATACCCAGCTCATTCCCTGCCATGTTCTTCGCCCCCTCATGCTCTGCATTTTTCAGCAACTGGCCGGGGATGGCGGAGGGGTGCTCAGCCTCCCTGCTTGGTTCACATGCTTCCTCCTGGGTCTCCAGTCCTGGCCCGTATTGCAGGCAGTCAGTCACATACAGCTGGTAAAGGATTTTTTTAAAAAGCCAGGTTAGCTGGGATGCCCAGTCTTTGTCTCTTAAATCTGACTTGATTTCAAGAGGAAAAAAATAAAAGCCCACAGGACAATATTTGGACAGATGTTGAAAGCTTTCTTTCTCAATATCTTACAGATCTGTTCCGCATTCCTGCTCAACACTTGGAGGCAAAATTGCTGCTCTGTACAACAGCTTCATCAGTAAATCATTAAAAGAACACATTTTTCCTCCTCTGATGGAAATGCTAATTTATTTTAATTTTTGTAAGTATTTCTCTTTCCATGAATTGACTTACATCATTTTTTTTTTTTTCCAAATGAAGAACTTATTAACCCTGCTAGATGTGACAAATGAGAAAGACATATCAGTTGTAGCATTGTGGGTGGTCAGTCTGAAATCTGTTCAGTATGGACTTAAATTCTGAATGGCAGACTGTTGGTGTTGGGGGTTTGTAGACACAGGACTGCTTGCCTTCTGCTTGCCAGTTTCTTTTCTTAGTTTTATTTATTTATTTATTTAATTTATTTTGAGAGAGAATCTTCTATTTGCTGGTTCACTCCCCAAATGGCTACAATGCCTGGAGCTAGCCCAGGTGAAACCTGGAAATTTAACCAGGTCTTCTACTAGGGTGGCAGGGCCAGGCATTTGGGCCGTCTGGTGATGCTTTCCCAGGCACGCTAGTGGGGAGCTGGACGGAAAGCAGAGAAGCCAGAACTGACCTTTAAGGCCATGGCTTACCCTGTGATACCACAGTGCTAGCTCCATACCCTCCTATTCTTATCTGAATTAACTGAATGAGAAATACAAAGAAGAAATAGATATATATATATATATATATATATATTTTTTTTTTTTTTGCTGAGCAAGGTGTTGGTGTCACAGTCTCTCTGGTTCTTGCTAGCCTATCTGTGTTCTTCCTGCACATGTCTGGGCTTGTGACCATTAGGTGAGACTTGGATTATAAATATTCATTATTCCCTTCTGATCTCTCTTATGTTTCTGCCAAACAAACTTATTGTCTTACCAGCTACCATGGTGGGTTTTTTTTTTGTTTTGTTTTAACTTTTTTGGCATGTCAGCCCTGGATGATAAACTGCTTAATTAGGAGCTTAATGTAGTAGCTTGCAACTTAGAAATGTGCTAACATAAAAAGGCTCATCAAACCCTCACCCCCCTGCCCTTTTTAAAAATTTTTTGGAGGATGAGGAATTTGACTCTGAGGTTTGGTCTTGATAATGATTTCTCATTCCCAGACAAAGCCCCATTTCTTGTGGACTTAAAGAAGCCAGAGGCAAAGATTCCCCACACGGTGAACTTCTACATCAGATCTGAACCAGGGGTGATGCTGGGAGTCTGGTGAGTGCCGCAGTGGACGCGAGCCGGCTGGGCAGACAGGTTGTCCTGTGAGATGGATACAGGGAGGGGCGCCGTGTCACCTGCTGATGCTGGGGTTGGGGTTCTCTGGGGGCCCTGGAAATTGCTCCTTTTCCATGGAAGTGTGGCCTGCCTGATTTTACATTACAGGAATTTTCCTTTGCAGTATAAGGTCTTAGACATCAGCCTTTGCTTCTGGCCTTGCCTAGCCTTCTTGTCCATCCAGCCACCCCCTCCCAGGGCATGTCCTATTCCCAGCACTTCCTTCTCTCTGCCCCCTTCCTTCCCTCCATCCACCCTAGCATTGCCTACTGTCCTTGGGATCTCATTTGAATTTGAGCTTTCAGGAAGCTTTTTCTCACCTTCAATTTTGGGTGTTTGCTCTCAGGGGCTGCCAGAGCCTATACCTTATGACAGTTCTTTGCCCCATAATGACATCTTGCATGGTTATTTGGAACAGGTTTGTCTTTATTGGCAGGTTTGCATTCTTAGCACAGGCTTGGACTGCAGAGGGCATTCAGTAACTCCGTCCAGGGAAGGTGTGTGTGTGTGTGTGTGTGTGTTTTCTTTTTTCCTCTATTAATCACAGACTTTCCTGTTGTTTGTTTCAAGTACTTGCTCCTATCCACCAAGTTTCCAAGGTCCTGTTTTATCTTTCATCTCCCTGAATTCACATCTCCGAATTATAGAATATTTAGGAACCAATACAGTTCCGTGTCCCTTCTTCCTCACCTAACAGCTAAGAGTGGAAATTTGGAGATCTTATTCTTTGTTCTTCTGTTTGATCTCTGGTTGCATGGTCAGTTGTCGCCAACAACAGCAAGGCATGTAGTGCGGGCAGTGCACCTGCTACTCAGTACAGAGTCTTTGTGACACTGGTGGACTTTCTGCCCTTCAATAACTGGGAGGAGTGAAGATTTATTCCCCTCTACGCCAGTCCTTCAAGTCCCCTGCTACTTGTCATAGGACAACCTCTGCACTTTTGAGGTTTGCTCATTGGCTTGAATAAGCAGGAAAATTGGAGCTCACAATGTTGTTTGAAATAATGAAGTCATTTGGTGCACTGCACAGAATAAGCTTTGTTTCAAGTTGAAGTTCTTTTCTCCCACAGAAGCTAAATTCTTAAATTCTCTCCAATTTATCATACTGCCATGATGTACTATGATCTCGTTCTATTTGTGGTCTGCCTTTTCCTCTCTGTTTTACAAATAAAATAGATTTTATAAATTTAATAATTAAAAGAGGCTCACAGGAAATGGGTGTTGTGAAAAAGCTATGTATGGATTTCAAAATACTTTTTACACCAAATAAACTCATCTTCTCATTTTCCCAAGCAATGTGAAGTCCCCTTGTACGCGTAACACGCAGTGGCTGTCTGATTCTGGAGGGTGGAGAAGTGCCCTCTGTGCTGCTGTGCTGAGCACCCCTCCTCTCTCTCCAGGCACACGGTGCCCGGCTGCCGGGCGGATGAAGCCAAGGGGAAGGACCGGCTCTGGTATGAAGCGGCCCTGCAGGACGGGAACCCAATTATCGTCTATCTCCACGGCAGTGCACAGCACAGGTCTGTGTCTCTGCTTGGGTTTTATTTTTTGAGATTGAAGCAATGTATCCCCCTGGTGGAAGCCAAGAGCATGGCTGAGTTCGCCTCTCTGCATGCCTTCACGTGCTTACTGTGTTTTATTGAAATCTGAGGCTGTTCTGGCAATAGGCTTCTCTTAAAAATATATTCAATATCTACAATCATGTGGGTCCTTCACTGAGAAGGAAAAAAAGAGAAGCTCTTCCAACACGTGGGTGTTGATTTCAAAGAGGGCGGGGGCTCCTTGAGTCCTGAGAAGTGTCTGGTTTACTTGGTGCATTTCAGGGGTACTGGCCAAATTCATAAAAAAATGGAATTAAAGAACAAGTTGAGCAGCAGGCACCTGGCACAGTGGCTAAGACACCCAGTGGTTTAGCCAACCCACTGATTTCAGAGTGTTAGGTGTGGGTTAGCCAAGCCATCCCAAGGCAGAGCATCTGGGCTGGAGTCCTGGCCCTGCTCCCAGGTCCAGCCTTCTGCTGACAGGACTTCTGGAGACAATGCAGGTGGCTCAGGTGGCTCTGGGCCACTTACTCAGGAAGGTCTGGACTGTGTTCCTGGCTCCTGGTTGCATTGGTCCAGTTCGGCTGTTGTGGGCATTTGTAAGGTGAACCAGGGGATGGACAACCAGCCTGTCTGTGTCATTCTCTGACTTCCAAGTACATGAAACATTAAAAAATATTAATGTTTTGGGGCAAAAAAAAATCTATGCACACTTCAAAAAGTGATCGGTGTTTTCCATGAACTTTTTGAAGACTCATCACAGTTCCATAGCAGTGCCTTCCTGAAGGTGTTCATGGGGCACACAGGGACATGTTGCAAGGGTGTTACTTAAGGGGTCTTGATAGTTGTCAGCTTCGTTACACCCAAAGCTGAGAAATTCATTTTAAGGCTGTGCATGTGTGCCTCAGACCTTGCAGTTTGGATTTCTGGGGAGATCTCTGTCCCCCTGAACCTGGAGCATCACCTAAAGATGGTGTTCTCCGTGAACACCTTCAGGAAGGCCCATGAAAAAAGGCCAAGTCTTGAGAGAGCGGTCACCTGGCAGCAAAGATCAGGGAGAGGAGGCTGGCGCACAGGCAAGCTCAGCCTTTGACTTCTAGTGTCCCCCAGGGCTGGAGCGGGGTCTGGGGTCAGGGACCACAGCCCCTCCTCCAACATGCCCCGAAGAATCACAGCCTGCTGAAGGCCTTGACAGTGCAGCAAAGGATAGCTTGGGAGACCTTCTCTGCTGCAAAGCTAGCTTGGACTGCAGAGAGCAGGCGCAAGCATGGGTAACCCTCTCTATCCTAATCGGAGGCCCACATGGGCCTGCAACTTCCAAATATTCTTAAATAAATTAAAAATAAATATTTCTAAATATTGCTAAATAAGTATTAAAATAAAAAGTCAATTAAAGAAAAAAAAAGAAAAAGAGATGGATTTTCAGGAGTTCATCAAATACTGATGCTAGGCAGCACTTGAGAGATCTGGGCATCCAGGCCGACTTAGAGGCTGTGCCACAAGGGGGAGCCCCTGAGTCGTTTTAGCTGATCTCCACGCAGGAAAGCACTTTGTCTCCCGGTTACTTAACCTCTCTCACCTAAGACAGATGTGAGATTAAATGCGAGCCTGAAGGTGACGTTCACTGAACTTGTCACCACAGTTGCTCATTCTTTCATTTTTTCCAATCTCCTTTACAGGGCAGCATCTCACAGAATCAGGCTGGCAAAGGTACGTCTGGAAGAGGCTCAAGGCCCGGGGTTCCTAAGTCGGCACTGGTTGGTATTCTGAGCTGCAGCTGTAAGGGGTTCCTCAAGTCCTGAGTCTGGCTCTCTGGTGGGAGATCCCAGGGCGGCGGTCAGGATGGGCTGTTGTGTCTGGGGCCGTAGGCCTGCAAGCAGATGTTTCCTCCTGTGCTATCTATGAGGCATCCAATAGCTGTGGGCACCTCTGGGTCCCCAACAAGCATGCTTGCGTTATAAGGGGAGTTCAAATAGCGCATGGAAATGAGCAATGCAAAGATAAGTTGTTGTCAGCTCCAAACATTTTGAGATTCATCAGTGCGTTTTTTCATCATACGCGTTACCTGCGAACCTTTGAAGACCACTTGTCTATACAATTTCAAAATGGACTTTTCATTGCATTCCTGCAATCTTTGTGTTCTCCTGTGGGGTGAGAGGGGTGGATTGAGAGTACCTGGAGCCAAACGGGCACCTGAGGAAGTCTGCACCACACGAGGCGTTCAGCCTCTCGGGTCAGGCCCTGCAGGCAGCGCTGAACGCGTCCTAGGCTAGGAGTGCCAGGACAACCAGTGTCACAGAAACGCCGGAAGTAGTAAGAGGCAGGAAAAAGTAATGTAATAATTCACTTTTTTGGGGATTTGATTTGCTACTTATTTAAAGATTTTTCATCTGTTTTATGGCGACTCGAGTTCTGCAGTTTTTCTTACTGGTACTCATTGGGTTTTGATATCAGAGTGTTGTGGATGTCTTAAAAAGAATTTGAAAGCAATTTGATCCCTCAGTGTTCCCAAGGATGTATTATTGGCTATTATTTTGTCTTTAAATATTTAGTAGAACTCACTAGTGAAATCATTTCATTTTCTTCCCCCCCTAGGGAAGATTTTGAAAATCAATTAAGTTCTTAAGTACATGGGTGATGCTATTTGAAGTTTTTTTCTTTCCATGCCAGGTTTTTGAATGTGTGTGTTTTTAAGATTTATTTTTATTTGGAGAATAATTTACATGAAAGGCAGATATTATGGAGAAAAGAGGCGAGATAGAGAGGTCAGTCTTTCTCTGGTGTGGCTGGAGCTGAGCTGAGCTGAGCTGAGCTGAGCTGAGCTGAGCTGAGCTGCAGCTGGGAGCTAGGAGCCTCTTCGGGGTCTCCGACATGGGTGCAGGAGCCCAAGGACTTGAGCCATCTTCTGCTGCTTTCCCTTGCCATACACATGGGGTTGGATCAGAACTGGAGCCAGGACATGAATGGGCACTCAGATGGCATGCCTGCACTGGTAGGTGGAGGATCATGTTGTAAACGATCCACTGGTGGGGGAAGGTGCTCCGGGGTCTGCCACCCAGGTGGCAGACCTGGAGGAAGCTCCTGAATTCTGGCTTCAGCCTGGCCTCGCCCTCATTATCACCGCCATTTGGGAAGTGAGTGAGTGAATGGAAGAACTCTGTCGCCTTGTCTCTCCCTCTCTCCATGTAACTCTTTCAAATAAATAAACAAATCTTTTTACAAACTCAAACTGTGGGGCTAGTGCAGTGGCATAGTGGGATGATTCTCTTCCTGTATGCTGGCATCCTTTATGGGCACTGGTTTGTGTCCCAGCTATTCCACTTCCGATCCAGCACTCTGTTTATAGCCTGGGAAAGCAGTGTAGGATAGCCCAAGTCCTTGAGCCCCTGAACCCCACTTTGGGATACCCACAGGAAGACTTGACTCTCAGCTTTGGATCAGCTCAGCTCTGGTCACACAACCATTTAGGAAATGAACCTTTGGATAGAAGACTGACCTTGTTGTCTTTTCTCTCTGTAAAAATCCACTTTTCAAGTAAAAATAAATTGTTTAAGAATCAAATTGTATCCTATAAATATGCATACTTACATGTCCACCAAAAAATAAAAATTAGAGGAAGGGGGTTTGGCACAATGATTAGGACACTGCTTGGGAGATGCGATTTCCAGTCCCAGATTCCAGCTTGCTGCTACTGTGTCCCCTGGGAGCAGCTGGTGATGGTGCAAGTAGTTGGGGTCTAATATACCCAGTGGAGACCCAGCCTGGATTCCTGGTTCCCTGCCCATCCTCGGCTGTTGCGGGTATTTGGGGAGCGGAGCAGGGGTGAGAAGTGCCCTCTCTTTTTCTCTGCCTTTCAAGTAAACGCTCTGCCCCCCCCCCCAAAAAAAACCCCAAACATTTGAAATAGAATGCAAAGTTACAGAAACATTTACTGTGTAACCAGGAAACTGAGCACACCATGTCATGCCATCCTGTCACAACCCTGTGAGTAAGGACTGTTGTGTTATACTTTTTGAGAAGTCATGCACTGTTATGTAACCTGGCCAAGGTCACACAGCAAGCAAGTGGCAGAGCCAGGGAGCCACCTGGGCTGTTGGCCCTGCTTAGCCAAGCTGCTTCTCCTCTTTCCCACCCAGTCTGATCTCAAGTTTGGAGTCAAGCATCACATTTTGAAACTGTACCCTCTCCTCATTTGTTAAACCTCCACGGCTAGGGACCTGTGTGTCGATGAGGTCCTTTTGCTGTTTTCTTTTTACCTTTTTCCTCTTCCTCTTTTTTTTTTTCTGTTTACTTTTATTTGAAAGTCAGATTGAGAGAGAGAGGAAGAGAGTGAGAGATGGAGAGATGCTCCATCTACTGTTCACTTTGCAAATGGCCACACAGCCTGAGCTGGGCCAGTCCAAACCTGGGAAGCCAGGAGCTTCTTTTTGGTCTCCCACGTGAGTACAGGGGCCCAATGACTTGCACTAGCTGCCACTGCTTTCCCAGGCCATAATCCAGGAGCTGGATTGGAAGTGGAGCAGCTGGGACCACCCACACAGTATAGCAGAACCACAAGTGGAAGATCACTCTGCCACTGGGCCAGTCCCACTTTCATCTTCTAACTCAAGTGATGACAGCAGCTTTGTTATTCAGGTGCTGAGTGATGGTGGCTTTCACGTGCTGTCTGTTGACTACAGAGGTATGTATTAAGAAAACTTTTTCTTAATTGATAGGAGGCTTTTTGATTTTTTCAATCTCCCTCCTTTTGGAGCTCGTGATAATGTGTTTGCATTTCCTTGCTGCCAGGATTTGGGGACTCTACGGGGAAGCCTTCAGAGGAAGGACTGACTGTGGATGCTGTCTGTGTCTATGAGTGGACCAAGGCAAGAAGTGGCACTACCCCTGTGTGTCTCTGGGGCCACTCGCTGGGCACAGGGTGAGATATGAAGACAGAGTACCTGGAGGGAGGGGCCTCAGGGCCTTGTTTTTGGATCCAAAGCAGCAGGCAGCAGCAGAAGACTCATGGGGCTCGGGGCGCAGAGGCTCTCCTCGGCATCCTCTCATTCCAACAGAGTCCAGAGACCTTGCTCGTCTTGGCGTGACCTTCGAGGCTGTGCTTGCCTGTGACACTGGAGTCCAAGAAACCCTTGAGCAGTTTCAGGGAAAGGGACCTTCATGAGGGCTCTGGGAGGCTCTTGGAATCCTGTGTGCAACTTTGTATGTACAGTATTCTCCAACCAGGGCCCGGAGCTTCCGCCAGGCGCTCATCCCAAGCATCCATGCTGCTTACTGTGTGCTCATTGCTTCACAAGTGCACTAATCTTCATTGTCTTACAGAGTTGCAACAAATGCTGCAAAAGTATTGGAAGAGAAAGGTAATATCAACTACCTCAGGGGAATTTTTTTTTGCTTTTGCTTCATTGGGAAAATATAGTGTGTACAGTCTGAACACACAAATACCTAAAGCAACACACCTTGGTAATCTGACAGGGTAATCAACTTTCCAGCTCTATTGCACATAAAATAATAGCTACTTCTCCAGGTTACACAAAGAAAGTATTAAGGAAAAAAACAAAATTATCTTTGAAGGAGCTTTCTGTGGGAAGTGGCAATAATATAAATGCTGGGAGAGGAAAATCATGCATCATGAGACGAGAGAGAGGAAGTGCTAACTGTGGCCATTGTACATTGTATTTGGATTAGTGTTTCTCATAACTGTATGAATCAGAATCTGTTGCAGGTATGTGTTTAAAATGTACATCATCTAGAGCCAAGTTGGTTTAATGAATTAGGCTGTGATTTGGGCCAGATAATTTTTTTAGACCAAAAATTAGAATTTACTCTATATAGCGATGTTAAGATAAATGCTATAGAATTTTAAGATTCCAAGATTTTAAAACCTGCCAGGCTTTCTTCTTGTGGGTAGGGTGTGGTGGTTCTATTCTTATCTACCTTGTTGCTCTAGACTGAGTATACACAGCACACTGTTTATGGAAAACTGTACAGTGCACTTGACACATGACAGCAGTATCTTCTTTTACAGTAGCTTGCTTTTCTTCTGACAGGCATCTATGGCAGAAACAGCTCACCTTAATGCAGTCAGAGACTGAGCTGATGGGGAACTGGGCTTTGGTTGCTCTGAGGCTGGTGTGTTCCTTGCTCACCATAGCTCCTAGGGGGAAGCCCTTTGAGGCCACAGCCAAAGGACAGGCACTGGGGTCCTCCCTTGTCTGACCTTAAACTGCAGGTCAGACAAGGTTAGACTGTGAGAAAGCTCCAAGTCCTACCTGGGTTCTCATCTTCCCAGCCAGCCCATTGCTTTCAAGGCTGCAGTTGCTTGGAGGGGGAAAGGCAGCTTGAACGTGGTAAGCTTTTCTCTTCTGGTGCTGGCTCTGCAGTCCTCCACCACTCAATAGCTTTCATGTGCCTTCAGACACATCCGCATGTGCATGGATGTTTTATACCTGTATTATTTTGCTTTCTTAACTTACCTAAACTATGGCAATCCAGTTGTGTTCTTAGAAGGTAGTGGTTTGGGGGTGCATGGTTTGCACAGCAGTTAAGATGCTGCTTGGGAGGCCCGCATCCCATCCTGTAGTGCCTGGCTTTGAGTTCCAGCTCTGCTTCCAATTCCAGCTTCCTGCTAAGACACACCTTGGGAGGCAACAGGGATAGCTCAAGTATTTGGGCCCCTGCCACCTACATGGAGGACTTAGCTCCTAGCTTCAGGCTGACTTGGTGCTGCAGGCATTTTGAAAAAAAAAAAAAAGGATGGAAGATACCGCTAAAACTGTCTGCCTTTCAAATAAGATAACATTTTTTTAAAGAGGGAAAAGGTGGTGGCAATGTCTTGCAGCCATTGTTTGTCTTAAGCTTGTTAGCAAGACCCGCCGTAACCCTCCCAAGATTCATACTCATTCATATGGTGCAGAGGAATTTGCTTTGCTAATAAGCTGCACAAATGATGTTCATGTTTAAGACCTTGAAGATCCACTTAAATAAGAAAAGAGATGTTGAGTAGAAGAGTTACTGATTTCTATTTTATTTTGTTTTTAAGGATGCCCAGTTGATGCTATTGTCCTAGAAGCTCCATTTACAAACATGTGGGTTGCAAGCATTAATTATCCCTTGTTAAAGGTGAGTTTCTGATTCATCATTGCAGAATGTCGAAGTATAGGTCATTTCCCTGCATATTCTGTCGCTATTTTCTCTCAGCTGCTTTCAAATGTTCCTAAGTCATTCTAATCTGAGATGAGACCTGTTACAGTTAGAGAAGGGACAAAAGGACTTTGGATTTGTTAGCTAGCTTATTATGACTGAAGGCTTTATTTATTCATTTATTTTTATTATTTTTTTAAAGACTTATTTCTATCCAAAAGAGTTGCAGAGAGAGAAGGAAAGACACAGAGATCTATTCACAGGTTCATTCCTCAAGTGGCCACAATGGCTCGAGCTGGGCAGGAGCCAGGAGCTTTTTCTGGGTTACTTTCCCAGGCCACTAGCAGGAAGTTGGTTTGGAAGTGGAGCAGCCAGGCCTCACACTACACCTGCAGGTTGAAGCTTAACTTGCTCTACCATTGTATTGTCCTCCACTCCCCGCCCTCCACCCCCTCCCATTTATTTATTTTATTTGAAAGAGTTACAGAAAGAAGGGTATCCCAATGCACAAATGACTGCAACTTCCTGGGCTGGGCCATACCAAATCCAGAAGCCAGGAACTCCATCCAGGTCTCCCACATGAGTAGCAACAACCAAAGCACTGGACATCTCCCATTGTCCCTTCTCAGGCACATTACCAGGAAGTGGATCAGAAGTGGAACAGTAAGGACTCTATTGGCACTCAAGCTGGATGCCAGCAGCCTAAGCAGTAGCTTCAATCACTGTGTCATAACACGGACCTTAAAAGATTTTTGTTAAAAAATATAATCCAAGTGAACTTTACCTGTTTTGTTCTCCTGCCAACAGTACATTAGTTTCAGTTGCTTCATATCCTTCCTTGGTTTCCTATTGACATATTGTTGTGGTTTTAATTACACTTCCCTGGTGATGAGGACGTTGGACAATTTTGGTTCTGTTTATTAGCTATTTTGATATATCACTTGCATGATTCTTTTTCATGACTTTTGCCTGTTCATCAATTGAATTGTCTTTTTTTACAGAAGTGCTTCATACAGACACTCCTATTACTTTGTCTTTTCACTTTAAAAAATATATTTTTACTCATTTATTTGAAAATTGGAGTTACCTTGAGGAGAGAGGAGAAAGAGGAGGGGGAGAGAGAGAGAAAGAGAGAGAGAAAGCTTCCATGCGCTGGTTTACTTCTCAGAAGGCCATGTTTATGTTGAAGTCAGGAATTTAATCTAATCCTGATCTCCCACATGGGTGGCAGGGGCCCAGACTCTTGGGCCTTCTGTTGCTGCTTTTCCCACGCCATTAGCAGGGAGCTGGGTCAGAAGTGGAGCTGGAGCTGCTGGGACATGAACCAGGACCCATATGGGATGCTGACATCACAGGTGGCAGCTTCACACACTATGCCACGGCACTGGCTTCTGACATTTTACTTTCTTAATGATAAATTATTGTGCTCTTAAATTTCAGTCACACAAATTCAGCAGTAGTTTCGCTTATTCTAATTCTGTTGATTTTTTTGGTATAGTTTTTTTTGGATATTTCATTATTAGGTGTATATGCCTAATAATTTGAAGATACAGTTTTTACATCTCCCAGTGGATTTATCCTTTCTCATCATGAAATAGTGGCTAGTGTCCAACATTAGCCAATCCTTCTTTAAACGTGTGCTTGCATGGTTTATTCTTTTTTTGTTCCCTGAGTCTCAGCTTTCCTGTCTTCTTTGAATTTATGTACATTTTAAATAAGCAGCAGGTGCATCTTGATTTCTTTTCCAGTATGACGGACTTTGTTAACTGTAGTGGTTCCTCTGTTGCATTCATTCTACTGCCTTCCTCTGTTTTGTCTATTTCACACCGCCTGCTGCTCTCTCTGACTCGGCAGCTGTCCCACGGAGAAAGGCAGTGCTGAGGGTGAGGCCAGCCTCTCTGCCCTCGCCAGGTGTTTACACTGAGACCGCTCAAGACCTCGCTGCCTTAGTAGGTGGCTGTTGCTTTCAGGAGAGTTTTCACAGTGTTCCCCACCCTCCCACCCTGCCCGCCCACCTGCCAGCTGTGTTTTTCCAGTTGTCTTTGGCAAAAGGCTTATCCTTCATCATCTATCCTTCTACTATAAGAGAGAAATTTGAGTTTTTGAAGTCTGAAATTTAAAATGTCATACACTACACGTATGTTCCTCAATTGACCAGGCATTACACCCTTATAATTCCTTTGCTCAGTGAAAATAACCTTAATTAAAAAGTGTATTTAGGGCCCAGTGCAGTAGTCTAGTAGCTAAAGTCCTCACCTTGCATCCACCAGGATCCCATATGGGTGCCAGTTTGTATCCTGGCAGCCCCACTTCCCATTCAACTCCCTGCCTATGGCCTGGGAAAGCAGTCGAGGATGGCACAAAGCCTTGGGACTCTCACCCATGTGGGAGATCTGGAGGGGGCTCTGGGCTCCTGGATTCAGATCAGCTCAGCACTGGCCCTTCAGGCCACTTGGGGAGTGAACCACTGGACAGACGATCTTCCTGTCTCTCCTCCTCTCTGTATATCTGACTTTCCAATGAAAATAAATGAATCTTTCCAAAAAACCACATTTAGCATAAGTCTTCTTAAAGTTTATGGAAAATGTGTATTATGAACAAATTATGTATAGAATTCCATTTTTTTGCTGCTAAATCAACTTTAAAAATTCTATTTTCTAAGACTTTTTTAAAGTACCCTGATAATACCTAAGCTCTCAGGCAATTAGCCGAACTACACAGTGCACACAGGGCTGGGAAACCTTTTTCATGCCAAGGGCCATTTGGAAATTAATAACATAATTCATGGGCCATACAGAATGATCAACATCAAAATTGGCGTGCTGTAGATTTATTGAATTCCCAGTCCTGCCTGCGGTTGCGTAGGTAGGGCCAGACCCAGTGATTTCACAGGCCTTATGGGACTGGGTGTCCCCCAAACCCAGTGAGTAGAGCATCAGTGGTCTCCCTTTATGACTCTGTGGGGCTAGCAGTCACCCAGCTGAGTGAGACGGCACTGTGCTAAGTATCACCTAGAAGAACATGAAATTCAAAATTCGCAGTACTTACGGCTTCTACTGCATGTGTGTTGCCTTTACAGCATCAAAAATCCTTGTACACGACTGGAGGGCTTCTACAGCTCAAGTCTTCCTCTAACTCTTTGAATGTATGTGCGGTAGTCCTGCAATGTTGCGTGTTCTTTAGGGAAAGTGGCTCCTGGGTTTGATTTCTGGGTGGTTGCGGATCAGCTGCATAACCGACGCTGATTGCTTGTGCTATTTCAGCTTGTCCCTGAAATGGAGCAGTTGCAGTCTATTTGACGTTGCTCTGATCCCTAAATGAAGGAAAAGCTATAGTAGCTACTATAGTAGCTACAGGTGCTGCAGTAGCACCTGCCCCGTGGGTTCTCCTCTCAACCCCAGGGGCTGCAACTCTGATTATTACGGCTGCACGAGTGGGTGCGAGGCAGGGAGCATTAGGACCTAGTCTAGGGCTGGGCGCCTCAGGCTCCAGGTGTTTTCAGTTTGTTTGGAGATGCGGGATGTATGTGTGAGAAATAAGGCAACATCAGAGATCACTGCCGGGTCACTTTTGAAAGAAGTTGGCTCTGCAGAATAGGAAGGCAGCATGGTGGTAGTGGGGAAAGAACATGGAGTTTGACTATACAGATGTGGGGTCAGGTCCAGCCTCTTTCCCCAGCACTGCATGGCTGTGGTTGGGTAATACCCTTCTCTGAGTCCCCCCAGTTTTTGAGAATAGCTTTGATGGGGCCTGTTGCTCAGAAGTTTGGGGAAAATGAAATTAAGATCATGCCTGTGAATCACCCAGTGAGTACTCAGCACATACAGTGCTTGTTCCTACCCTCCCCGTCTGCGGTAGGAAGCACCATGATAGAGGGGCTGGCAGGACCAGGAACATCATTCCAGGGTTGGGAGAACCGAGGTCATGCTTATGCACGTGTGTAGCCTGTGAAGGCCATACAGATGGGGGGCATTGCCTCCTGGAAGGTGCAGGAACACATTGAGGAGACAAGTTTGCTTAGAGATGGGGGAGTTGAGGCTTAGAGGCTCTTCTGATTGTCATCTCCCTTGCAAGAAGAGGATGCTGGACTCAGTGCTGGGTCTTCTAACTCTAAGAAGACAGCCTGGACAGGAGCAGCCTCTGGCACAAAGGACTAACCAGACAGGGATGAGCACTCAGCCAGGCTAAGAGCTGTTGTTTTCAGTGGCTGCATGGGGCCCTCCCCAAGTACCAGCTGATTCTGCGTAGCTAATGTTCCAAGAATATGTAGCAGGTGGAGTTCCAGAAGACAAAGGGAGGTAGGAGGAGCATTCAAGAGCTCCTGGCTATGCTCTCCACTGGAAGGGGAGGTGTGACCTTAAAGTGTCGAAGGTCAGCCCTGGCTGGGAGGGAGTGAGGAATGAAGAGTGGGGAATTTGCAGGCACTCTCTTCTTATCAATTTTTTTTAAAAGAATCATTTATTTTTATTAGAAAGGTGGATTTACAGAGAGAACAGAGACAGAAATATCTTTTCTTCTATCTGCTGATTAACTCCCTGAATAACCACAATAGCCTGAGCTGAGCTGATCTGAAGCCAGCAGTTTCTTCTGGGTCTGGCATGCAGGTGCAGGGTCCCATGACTTTGGGCCATCTTCTGCTTTTCTGGGCCATATGCATGGAGCTGGGTGGGAAGTAGAGCAACTGGGACATGAACCGGAGCCCATATGGGATGCCAGTGTTTGCAGGCAGAGGATTAGCTAGTTGAGCCATCATGCAGCCCCCTCTTCTTATTCCTTAGAATTCCTCACGGACCACCTCAAAGTGTCTCTCGCTGACTTTTCCTTAGAGGAGTTCTTATTACAGGGGTGGGGAAATCACAAATCAAGGAAAAGAGAAAGCCAGCCAAGCAGTGTTGTCCTCAGCATAGAAGAGGAGGAGGAATACAGAAAGAGGAGAGGCAGTGGCAGGCCTCCCAGCCTAAGAGCTCAGGATCTGCTGTAAGGAGGGGAGGTTCCAGAAGCAAGCCCAAGCACAAAGTGGGAAGCATATGTTTGTATTAATTGGTGCCAGCCCGACTGTTTCACATCCATTTCTTTTCCACGTTCCCTGCAATGATGTGTTTAAAATGCTCTTTATGAATTCTCGGTGTTTCTGTCAATATTCGGAAGCTATAACAAATAATATTATAACCACAGGGCAAGTGTTCATGGGTTTTCTTAAAAACAAAACAAAACAAAAAACGGTGAAGCAAAAGTTTGCATTGTTGAGCCTCAGCCTGCCCGTTCTGTACCCATTCTCTTCCCTTTGCTGGGTCCCATTTACTGCCCTGCTCCCCTCACTTCCGCCCTCTCAGGGAAAAGCCAGCAATACTTAGCTGGTATTTCCTGTTTGCAAATTTATCTGAATCTGAAATTTAGTCACACTAACATGAAAATGACAGGTAACAGTTCAAATAGCACACCAGGGCTTTTTTTCCTAAATCCATCGCATCTTCAGAAGATATTGAGGGGGTGGTCTATTAGATACCGGGAAGTTCTCTAGGTTCTGGAGATGCCTCAAGGAGTAATAGAGTTATGGTTCCTCTGCTATAGGGTGTATATATTGCTGAGGCAGCACATAAAACACAGGTACAGAGGAAGAATTTAGCAGTGAGAAGGGCTTTCAAAACAATGAAACTACGCCATTGGTACTATGTGGGAGGGGGTGAGCAGGGAATGAGAGCTGCTTAGGAGCGCCCTCTTAGAATTAGCATCTGAACTGACACCTGCAGGAGCAGGAGGGCAATGTCTCAGAAGAATCCCAAAATCTCAAATGGAAGGAAAAGCTACAGACTGGAGGACTTCAGGAGCAGATAGCAGCAGAGCCTGAAGGTGGATGGCAGGGTCACATGACAGGACATGTGGCTGGAGATGGATGTGACCACTAGATTCTGTAGGCTCTTGAAGGCCAAGACAATATGCTGGTGTTGATGCAAGAGCCTCGAGTGGGTGTTAAGCAAAAGATTGTGATGATCTGATTGACACATTGATGTGATCCTGCTGGTTGCCTTATAGGAGTTGGGCAGGGAGCCGTCTGGGATAGTTGGCATAGTCCAAGTGAAAGGGTGGCTGAGACCAGGGGACAGTGGAGCCGGAGAGAAATAAATGGATTTGGGAAATTGTATGGCAGTGTGGAGATAGGGACAATGTGTGTGAGTGAAGTGCTACGTGAATAGCAACACTCAGTGTTTCTGTCTCTTCCTTTTCATGTTCTATTCAAAGGGATGTTTGTAGGGAATAGGGGCTCAATGTTGTATTGAGTTAAGACTATTGTTAAGGTAGACCTAGCTGGCATTCTATTTGTTGAGATTTTTCTACTAAAGAATCAATTCAGCATGTTTTGAGAGATATCCTTTAACTAATTAATTATGTTCACAGAAGAAGCGATTGTTAGATTTTTGCTTACCATTGCTTCTTTATGAGCAAGAATGAGTGCTGCTATTTGTATTTTTATTCATCTATTTTTAAACATTTATCATACAGTCCATTTGTATTTTTTAAAAAGATGAAAAAATAATTCTTCACCAATAATATATGTATGATTTATTTCTCCTTCGTTCCTTTCTATTTCTTATACAGATTCTCTATGATAATAAATTACTGTTTAAAATTGTAAAATTTATGCTTAGTTTTATTATATTTAGGAAGTCACACTTCTGATGGCTCATAGTGGGAGACTATAGCTAATGGCCATGGGACAAATATTAATAATTTTTCTTTTTCTGAAAAATAGATTGCCCAGAAATTTCCACGATGTTTGCACACAATTATGGACGCCATGAAAAAAGACAAAATAGTCTTCCCCAATGATGAAAAGTAAGTGAGTATTGACAAAATATCAAGTATCACTCAGAGAGGTTGGGTGGGAAATGAGGGGTGACTTATTGGACAATAAATCTAAATATATATACATATTAGAATATTGATCTATCATTCTTAGATGAGCACTAGGCTTTGAAATAGAATATTTGGGAATTATATGACACTTTCTGCAGTGACTTTCACAATTTTGTTCTCTTAGGAACCCTCCAAGGGAACCGTATGTTTAATAGGACATATCCAGATTTTGTGACAGTCCTGCGCGGTCTAGTCTAGCACACCTTGGGGAATCCCTCACCTGTAGGCCTTATTCCCTATGGAACAAAATCTTATCCGCCCTCTAGCTGACTAGCCTGCCGGTGAATCCAACTACCGGAGTTTGGTAACTTAGCATGCCCCCTGTGGAACAGTTAAGGATATTTGCAAAAGGAGTTGTTAGCAATATGTTGATGGCTGCACCATATGTGAGAGAATCTGACAGCTCCAGGAGTCACTGTGACAGGGAGGGATGGGCATGGGAATTTGGGACAGTTTTGGAGTGGGAGACAAGATGCCATAGCTGTTATGAGTTATGAAGCTAGAAGCATGACCAGAAAGCCAATCCACCCTGCTAAGGTACATTTTTGGGGAGAGTAAAACACATTATAACCAAGAAATCACGTTGGTCCTGGGGCAGTTTCTGTTCTGTTAAGTTATTTTTGATGGTCTCCAGTGAAAGTATTCCACTACTGCAGAATGTTGTACAATAAGGAAGATGAGGCCTTTCTAACAGTACAGATTCCATGTAACAGTATTTCTTCTTAAGTATTTCCCAAAATCATGGAGAAGAAAATTTAGTTAAATTATCAGAGAAAACAGCAATGAGGGAAAGCTTGCCGTGTGAAGCTGTTAGGTTTAAGAGTCAAGTAAAGACATCTTGCATGCTTGGGCAAGCCTCCTGCTTTCCTGAAGGGTTAACTAGAAGATGGTGAGTGAACTTACTGCGCTCCTTCCACCTGTCCCTAGCGTTAAGTTCCTGTCTTCCCCACTGCTCATCTTACATGGAGAGGATGACAGGACGGTGCCTCTGGAGTGTGGGAAAAAGGTGAGTGAAGAGCCCAGCGCTGGGCACGGAGGCATCCTGGACTCAGGTCATTGTCTGCCAGGCAGCCACACTTGGATGAGAGTTTCTGGCAGGTGTCTGATGTTGTGAGGAGTGTTCACAGCCCTGACTAGCCACCCTGCCCTTACACAGTGAGCCTCAGTATCCTTGGCTGTTGCTCAGCCTAAAGGCATGCATGTGGCAGGTGCTGGTTTCTCCTCTGTGCCTGCAGAGACAAGATCTCAGGTTGCTGTGGAAACCTCCCTGCAGTCTGTCAGAGCAGCATTGCAGGCAGAGGGGGCAGGTCTTGGGGGTAGTGGATGCTCATCGGGACACCTGTGTACTATACTGGAGGGGCTGGGTTCAGATACCAGGCTCTACTCCTAACTCCAGCCTCCTGTGAATGCAGACTGCAGCAGGCAGCAGGTGATGGCTCAAATAGCTATGTTCCTGCCTCTCTTGTGAGTGACCCTGAGTTTGTAGCCCTCAGCTTCAGCCTGGCCAAGCCACTGCTGTTTTGAGAATTAGAGGAATGACTCAGTGGGTAGGAGCTAGTACATGCTAGCTCCTCCTCTCTCTCTGAAATTTCAAAGAAAAAATACAGATGCAGTCCTTTCCTTTCTGTGCCTCTCTGCTAGAGTTGGGTCCATGGCAACTCCTCGTGCCTCTGCAAGGATTTTCAGGTGGGGAGGACAAGGCTAGTCTGTTCTCTTTCCGAAAGGGGAGATCAATGAGAGAACCCTTGGCTTTGAGTTGCCGGCCCCTGAGAGATGGTCTTCCCGTTTTTTTGCAGCTCTATGAAATTGCCCGCACAGCATATAGGCACAAGGAGAGGGTCCAGCTGGTTATCTTTCCTCCTGGCTTCCACCACAACCTTCTTTGTAAAAGTCCCCTGCTGTTAATGGCTGTGAGGTAAGAATACCTTTGCTCAATGTCATTCTTCCTGCTCCTGGCATGTTGGGCTGCCCTGGTTTCTGAGTCCTTGGAGCGGGGATGGGGGTGGGGTGGTGGGGTGGGGTGTTTGGAGGGGTTGGGGGGGATGTGTTCACTGATCCTGCTCTTTTCTCTGCAGAGATTTCCTGAGCAAGCAATGGGCCTGAGGACAGAAACCTGTAGTGAAGACCTGATCCCAACCGTGCCCTCCGCTCCCTGAGTCTGTGTTGTGTGTTATTTTTATATGGGGCCACCTGGATGAACTGAGGCTATTTGCCATTTTAATAAGGGAAGCATGGATGCTTCATGCAGAATTTCCATGTGGGGAATCACACCTTGGCAAAAATGTGGCAGTCAGCTAATGACGTGTAGTGTTCCAAGATCCTGGGGGTGGGGAGGTATCTGTGAAGAAGGTGGCTGCTTGGTTGGACTCTCTGTCTGTCCCCAGAACATGCACATTGAAGTCCAACCACCAGTGTGATGGCAGTAGGAGGCTGGGTGTTTGGTGGGGAAGGGTGTTCCCAGGGTGACAGGGATGAGTACTCATGCGTGGCATTAGTGCCCTGTAACATAGGCCGGAGGAAGTTCCTTACCTCTTGCACCATGTGAGGATGCAGAGAAGGTGCCACCCAGGAGCCAGGCTAGAGCCCTTACCAGATTTGCAATCCACCAGCACCTTGATCTTGAACACCTCAGCCTCCTACAATCCTAGTGTCACCCAGTTATCCGGGTGGGGTGTTGTCTTACAGCGACCTGAATAGATCGGGGCAGTGATCTTAGCTTTGGACTCAAGAGTCTAAGAAAGGTATTCCAAGGTACTCAAGTGATTTGTATTTTACTCAAGTTCTTTTAAAGGCTCTTAAAAAGTTCCAAGCAGTTTCTTATTTTTTTCGGATTAGTTTTGCAGGAAGTCCTAGTAGTTTACTGATTGGTTATAAAATAATGGCTTGGCAACTCACATAGCCCTTGGAAATGGACACTTTATTATTAACCCTAATCCTCTGTTCTTCCCCTTCCCGGAGATACCTAACCAGATCATTTAGCTAATAAAGGAAAACAAAATCAATAAATGTCATAAAAATGTTCGAGTTCAGTAAGAAGTTACTTTTCCCAAAGGCCTTTTACAAGTCATTTTCCATCAGCTTTGTTCACACCATTGCTAGCTTCATGAGATAGGGAAATCTTGAGATCTGAAGGTTCCATGTTCCAGATGTCCCTGGCATATTCTTTAATTGTTCGGTCGCTGGAGAATTTCCCCGAGGCAGCTATGTTTCTGAGTACCATGGTGTTCCAGGCCTTGGGATTCTGTAGATAAAAAATGGAAGCAAGACATGAGGCTGTGCATGGTCAAGCATGCTTCCTATGGAGGTGGTAGAAGCCGCCCAGAGCGAGGTGTGAGCACATGCACCCTGCAATTGTAATACACACCTCTTAGGAGTAAAAAAAAATATTTTCCATTAAAAAAGAAACCAGGGATGTGAGTTCTTCAATCGGTCATTCCAGCTGTCTCTCCCATTATTAAGAATGAAGGAAGCGCCCTTTAAACCAGGGCTGGGGAACTTCCAGCTACAGGCTGTATAAAGCCCATGAAATCATCTGGTCTGGCCCTGCCAAGGCAACCGCAGATGGGACTTGAAATTTGACAAACATAGAGCAGGCTGAATTTTAAGTTGATAAAAGTGAATAACCCATACATACTCAATAGCTCTTGGCAGAAAACACATTCTCAACCCTTGCTCCAAGAGGAAGAAGGAAACTCATATTTGTTGTCTGCAGGGTATCTCATCAAGAGATTTAACCTGTGGGTCATAAAGCTTGAAAACCACTGCTGTGCCATCTGAGCTACAATGTAGGCAGACAGTGAGATGAGAGGCTGATGGGCTACTCAGCCGTTCTCGTTCTTTCTGAAAGTACACACACCAACAGGTTCACACTGAACCTCAAATTCTCCCCTGGGACCTCAGAACAGGGTCAGTGAAGGCTTTTATCCTTGAAGGAAATGATCTTATCAAAAATTTCATCATTTTATATAAAAGAATACAAGAAAAAATGTTGTAGTCTCATGATTTTTAAAGAACTTTAAAAGTTTGTTGAGAATGAGAGGGGCATCACTCAAAGCCATTAGCCAAGCACTATAAGCATTGAAAATACTAAAAGCGTCCTGCTTCTTCAAGTTACTGCAGAACAATCTTGCCATTAGTTCATGCAGAGTTGGCACATCCCTTAATGAGATGGGAACAAGCATGTCCTCTTTCCTTTTTCTTTAGCTGTTGAAGTGGATAATGAGTAAACTTCCTAGTCATGTGGGTCAGGTTCATTAAGCCTCAACAATACAATTATTGTTTAGAAGACTGTAATGGGCACTAATGAACAAGAAAAACCGAATAAAATTCTGGGTTTCTAGATGGACTTCCTTTGGGTTGGGCCATCATTTCAACAGAGGAGATCCACTGTGTCAACCTGACATTCTTCCTTCCCCTTGTTCATATTCTTTTCTGATCTGTTTTCCTTTCTTGTGGTGACTTTTATGTCTCGCCATTCTCTTTCCTCTTTCTGGCTGCTCTCTCCAGGGTTCAGAAAACATGCAGTGAGCTGCTTGGCCCATGCTCCAGTAATGCCTTGCTTCTTCAGAGCTATCCACATGAGCTTCCTTGGGTCTGTGTGACTAGATATGAGTGTACCAGTAGCCTTGTGAGTCAGCAGAGGTCTTTTTTTTTTTTTCTTTTAAAGATGGATTTGTTTTATTTGGAAAGCAGAGTGGCAAAGAATTAGAAGCAGAAAGACAGAGAGATTTTTCCCTTCATTGATTTATTTCCCAAATGGCCATTAACAGCTGGAGCTTGGCAAGGCTGACACCAGAAACCTAGGACTCCATCCAGATCTCCCACATGGGTGGCAGGGGCCCATGCACTGGGACCACCATCTGCTGCCTTCGTAGGGAGCTGGATCAAAAGTGGAGTAGCTGTTACTATTGAACCAGTGCTCTATTATGGGATATCGGTGTTGTAATCAGAGGTTTAACCTGCTGTTTTACAGTGCCAGCCCTTAATATAGGTCTGTAATGATCCTATTTTATACCCCTCATAGGACACTGGGATGACTGTAAGAACTACCCAGTCACCTGCCTTAGGAAAAATAAATAGAAATGTCAGTGATCTGTCCCTATTCTGGGAAGCTTCTGAATCTGTCCCTTAGGCACAGTTGAGAGTCACTCTCTTCTGTCACAGGCCATGAACCTTTGCACACACTCACCAGACCCACCTATGGGGCTGATGTGGGAGGGTGGCTGTGTGAGGAGGCTTACACAGCTGGCTCCAGTCCTTTGTTTTTCTAGCAGTGTCTTTATTCCTGTTAAACATCCAAATATGACATTTGTTCTCTTGTGCAAGTTTATTTCTTTTTAGACAGCCCCCACTCCATGAGTAGCCCAGGAGGGCTACCTACTGTGTGATTTTCAAAGAGTAAATGGTCAGCCTGAAGGCCGATAAAGCTCAGCCATAGTGTCATCTGGGCTCTTTCAGTACTCATGTGGAGTACACCTGCTGCTGGCTGAGAATCCTGGGGGCCTGGCATCTGCACTGAGAGCTGCCCTGTGACTCTGGGGTGCTCCTCTGCTCTTTGAAGAGGCAGTCTTAACAGGCTGATTGAGGGGAGGCACCTTGAATCTGTTCATGTTGTGGTCTTGGCACCTTCCAGAGGCAGGAGATCCTTACCACCCTGGACAGGCCTGCTTACCAATGGCAGGTGCCCAATAAATACCAAATTATCTGTGATTATTATTTGACTATTACACAATTCATAACTGCTAATGAAATCTCAAATCGCAACCTCTGCCTGAACTCGGGAAAGACCACATTTTGATTAGAACCTTGACAATTTCCTCACTTTTATTAAAGAAATAACAAAACAAAACAAAACAGGTCCCTGCTCTTTAGATCAAATAAAAAGAAATAAAATTTCTACTGGCTTCCTTTAATGATCCGAGCAACTTACCAGGTACAGCTCACTGACTTTCTCTTGACACTTGACGTAGGCTTCATAATCTGCAAAGACTTTAAATCTGTTGTGAATTTTTTTATGATTGGAAAGAAAAAACAAACAAAAAAAGATTAATTATTAGATGCGTGCTAAGATTCCATTGAAAATTCCCTTCTGCTCAGAGCCAGGTGTGGCTGATTTATAGAACTCATATTTCTCTGGACTAGAATTTGAACCAAACTCAAGCTTTTCAGGGCTCTTCCTACAGATAAGAAAGTCATCCTCTGGGTGTGCATGAAGGTGGTTATACCAGTGGAAAAAAACACATACCAAATGTGTGGGTCTCAGTCTAAAGACTCCCCAGCATTGTCATAGAAGCTGCTTTGGGCTTTTTTTTTCCAGCCTAGGCTGGATGATCAGATCTTCCATTTATGCTAGTCTACATGAGTGGAATGTAGCCAATTTAAGATGTTCTTGTGCCCCCCTTTCTTGCGGCTTGAATAGCACCATCTTCTTGCGAGAACTTACCTGTCATGATAAAACAGCATGTTCACGATGTCTTTGAAGAGGTCCGGCTGCTTAGGGGAAAAGAAGCCATTGTCAATTTGGTCAATGACCAGCTTCAGCTCTGGAAGGGCCTCGTAGTATTTTTTTGCCTCATACCTGCAAGGTGGGGATGGGTGGGAGATAGCAGAGCGGCACTGTTAGTGTGATCAGCAGAGTTCTCTACGCTGCATTCACTGGGGAAAACACAATCAGAAACACTAGTAGCTGTTCTCTTACCCTTTTTTGTCCAAAGCAGCCACATCATCTACTCTCATGCCAAAGATGAACAGGTTCTCTTCTCCAGCTTCCTCTGCCATTTCCACGTTGGCTCCATCCATGGTCCCGATGGTCAAGGCCCCATTCAGCATAAACTTCATATTTCCTGTTCCTGAGGCTTCGGTGCCTGCGGTGGATATCTGCTCTGACAGATCTGTGGCTGGAATGACTACAAGAAAGGTACACTGAGATGAATCATTCTGTCTCTCTAGATGTTGTCTCTCAAAAGAGGCAGAGAGGCAGAGAAACAGAGAGAGACGCAGAGTTCCTACCAGCTGGTTCACTCCCCAAATGCCTGCAATGGCAAGAACTGAGCTAGGGGCAAAGCCAGGCAACTCAATCCAGGTCTTCTATGTGGGTAGCTAGAACCCAATTACTTGAATCGTCATCACAGCTTCCCAGCTCTGCATTAGCAGACAAAGGGTAGAGCAGCAGAGGGGCAAGGACTTGAATGCAGCCATTTCCATAAAAAATATGAGAGTTCTAACTGAATCTTGACCTGTTTTGGTCATTAAAATAATACCTGCACTCCAAGATAAAGACTCAGGTGACACAGGATGAATCTTTGTCATTCACAGGCAATCTCTTCTTCCCATCTTTAGATGTGCCGCACAGCTCCAGGCTTATACTGCATTTTCCTGGTTTATAAACTTCAGAGTATTCATCAACTCTGTGCTGTGACTGTTGCATTACATTTCTCCCTTCATTTCCCTTTCCTCTTTCCAGTTTTTGTTAGATTTATTTTGATTTCTCTTACTTCATACTGCACTGTCTTGGTCTTCAAGTCCTAGAGCATCTCCTAAGTCACCTTTTGAAGCCTGAGAAGATGGGGGTCTCTCCAGGTCTCACCTCCTTCCCACTTCCTCTGTGGAGAAGCCCTCCAGTGAGATCTGCCTGGGGCTGGACATCAAGCCCTTGATCTTACAGCTGTATTTACACAGAAAGTAGCCCAATTCCTGCTCCCAGCCCTCCCTTGACTGAAGGGCCAGGACTACTCCTTAGCTTTACTCTTGAGAGTATGTGGATTAGATTTCTCTTCGTCAGCATTCCTAGCAGCCTGACTCTTTTGTCCTTGTGCACACATTCCTTAAACAGTCATGCTAGGGGACTCAAAAGCTCTGCTAAAAGGGAGACTCCCTGTGGTTGTAGCCTAGAACA